TCAAGGCCTCCTTTACTTTCTTCCCTGATTATCTGGAGACTTCAACCCTCCTAGTAAATAATCAGGTCTTGAAATTCTTGATGGCAAAGCTATAATCAGCAAACAAAGCTTGAAGTGTGACTGCCCACTAGAGAACAGAGTGGAATGGAAGGGAAGGAGTTAGAGATTAAACAAGGAAACGAAGGTCAATCAGGAAGAGCTACAATTTAAACCATGTTCACAATCATCCAGCGCTACTATTTTTGTTCTATTTCCACATGAGTAGGGAAATGGTATGAATTTCCAGATCATACGGTCTGGGCAATATGGGCATCAAAAATCCAAGGTAATGATTAAGACCTGGGTACTTAATGAACAAATGGTCATAGTCCCAAGCCAACACAAAAGTTCCTATTTCAGAAATTTAAAGTCGCAAGCTTTGGTCACAATAGCAATAGCAGTATTCTTTAAATTCATAACCACTCATTTCTCCCCCCAAATTTCATCCACTTATATTTTATAAGCATTTTATAAGGAATTTATTAATTCCTTGAACAAACCTAAGTCACAACGGGCTTTTTTTAAAGTATACCTTGTCATGACACCCAAATATTTTGCAAATCACTGGCCTGGGCTGAATAATGACAGACAAAGCACTAGTGAGCAAAAACAATGATTACATTATTTTGGTCGTTGTGTGCCTTTGACATGAAAAGTTGTTTATTTACAATACCACATCACCTTGGTTCTGCACAGAGTGGCATATGTGCTCCAGCTGCTCAAACATTAACTATGGATGAGTCACATTTGTAGGTGGGAACTCACTCTAGAAAAACAAGGAGAGAAATGCCTGTGCTTATAAGTTAGAAACAAGCTCTAATGTTCAGGCTCACAATTATAATGAGACATGGTGAAATCTTGTCTACTTTCTTGTCAACTGATCTACTTTCCAAATAAATTTCCTTTGTTGGCCATCCCTAAGGAATAATTTTACTAATAGCTTGGCAAATATCTAAAAAGTCATGCTTATCAATTCTTCCTAACTTCTTTCTATCACCAAAATTCTTTCCAAATGGCTACTATGTGAAAAAACTATCTTGGGCCTTGGGAATAAAACTGAGACACAAGGGCGAAAGCAGCACAAGCCTTGTTCTCAAGAAGCAAGAGCTTACAGTCTTATTGTGGGGGGTGGGAAGAAATATGCAATTACAATTAAAAAACAGTCAACACATAACCATTAGTAACAGAATTAGGATTGAAAAATATAACAGTATTAGTAATAATGGGATAAATATGGGGATAAATAATGGGATAAATATAAATAAATAATGGGACATTTAAGAGCTTTAGGTGCTCAAAACCAATTATATAACCACAAAATGCAGAACGCCTTGGTTGATGGCAGCTTATATAAAAAAGATGTAAAGGTTGCAGGTGAATAAAACTCCATAAAAGCATAAAAGTCAACTATGTAAAACGGCTGTTAAAACAGCTAATCTAAATTAGTAGAAATATTGTGTCCAGATCAAGGAAAATAATAATCCTACTGTCTCCATACCTAGAGTTACTGGTGCTGTTTTATGAGGCTCATTTAAGAGGAATATCACAAAACTAGGAGAGAGAGTGTGTGCGTATATGTGTGGGTCTGTGTGCACACACATTCATACTTGCTAGTGGGGCAATGATAGTGAAGGATCTGTAAATCATATTATGTAAAAAGACAGAAGGAATTGAAGACATGTGGCATAAAGGAAGACTTGGAGGTGAGCGGTAGAGGGGGCAGCACACAATAGTGGTAGTGAATGCCTTTGAGCTGGTAACAGAGGGCTCAACTGTACTCCATGGAAATAAAAAAAGACAAATTTTGGCCCAATGTAAGAACTTCCAATATCTTGGGCTTTCCAACACTGAATTACCTTGAAGACTGGAAAACTCTATAGCTAGTAGTAGTCAACGCAGAGACAAATGACATTTGTTAAGAAAATCCTAGAAGCAATTCTTACACTAGGTGGAAATTTCTAACAGATTCCTAAAGCTCTTCCTATCTTGGAAAAGTTGGTGGCTATCTTGTTAGCTGCAGGCAAGAGCACTGAGAAGACGACATCCACCACAGCTACTTTAAGAGCACGGGACAACCTCAAAGAGCAGGAAAGAGGTCAGGAATCACCACTGAACTTCATGTAAGACCTAAAAGGCTTTGTGATTTTTAGATGATTGTCAGAAGAGGTACTGGGAGGGAGACCAATGATGGCCAACCTACCTGACTACGAGCCAGCAGCTGGCTTGACCACTACAACAGAGCCCTCCTATTCCAACCGCCTGCAACGGACACACCAGTCTCAGAGGTTCCAGTTTTTCCTTGCTGCCTTGAGTGAAAGACATTAAGTCCCCTTTCCTCCAACGCTCTCCCTATTCAATCCTTGTTTTCAATGAACAGAGAATGCCAAAACTTCAAGAATCTGCAATGTTCTCCTGTATTTGGGGAGAGTATGAACCCAGCAGCACAGATGTTACTCCCACATAACAGGTTCATGAGATTTTATGGCTCCATATTGAAAAAGGATGACTGGCCTGATCTGGTGGGTCTATAGTCACGTGTCACTTAATGATGGGGATACGTTCTGAGAAATGTGTCATTAGGTGATGTCATTATTGTGTCAACATCATAGAGTATGCTCACACAAACCTAGATGGTATAGCTTACTACACAGGTAGGTATACCTAGGTATAGCCTAGGCTAAATGGTATAACCTATTGCTCCTAGGCTACAAACCCGTACAGCATGTTACTATACCAAACACTGCAGGCAATTATAACACAAGAGTAAGTATTTGTGTATCTAAACACATCTAAACATAGAAAAGGTATAGTGAAAATATGGTATAAAAATTTTAAAAAGCTACATCTGTATAAGGCACTTACCACGAATGGAGCTTGCAGGACTGGAAGTTGCTCTGGGTGAGTCAGTGAGCGACTGTGAAGGCCTAGGACATTACTGCACACTACCGTAGACTTTATAAACACTGTACACTTAGGCTACATTAAATTTATAAAAACAATTTTTTTCTTTTTTCAATAATAAATTAACCTTAGCTTACTGTAACTTTTTCACTTTATAAACTTTAAAATTTTTTTTTTTTTTTTTTTTTTTTTGGTGAGGAAGATTAGCCCTGAGCTAACATCTGTTGCCAATCCTCCTCTTTTGTGCTGAGGAAGACTGGCCCTGGGCTAACATCCGTGCCCATCTTCCTCTACTTTATATGGGATGACACCACAGCATGGCTTGACGAGCAGTGCCTCAGTGCGCTCCTGGGATACAAACCTGTGAACCCTGGGCCGCTGCAGCGTAGCGCGCGCACTTAACCGCTAAGCCACCCGGCCTGCCCCTGAAATTTTTTAACTTTGACTCTTTTGTAATAACACAACTTAAAACACAAACACATTATACAACTGTACAAAAATATTTTCTTTCTGTATATCCTTATTCTATAAGCTTTTTCCTATTTTTTAAATTTTAAATTTTTTTTACGTTTTAAACGTTTTTGTTAAAAACTAAGACACAAACACACACACTGGCCTAGGCCTACACAGGATCAGAATCATCAATATCACTGCCTTCTACCTCCACATCTTGTCCTACTGGAAGGTCTTAAGAGACCACTGTCGTATATGTGGCCTGTTGTTGACAGAAACCTCATTATGCAGCACATGACTGCATTTGGAAGGGCTTACAGAAGAAATCCTGCAAACTGGCCTGGTCACTTTCCTCAGGCCCATTAAACATCTAAGTTGTGCTGGATCTAGCATGTTTTTACCTGTGCTTGAGATTTGTGAGATATGTACAAACATGTTTATCATAAGTGATCTGTAATAATTATTACCCTGAAATTTATGAAACTAGGAGCAACATAACAGCCAATTTTTAAGTTTAGTTACGGGAAGACAAGCCTCAAGATATACATACATCCTGTGAACTCCGTTGCTACTATTAAATCCTATGCCAGGAACACTCCACATTTAAGGAGACAATCAATGAATAAATATATACTAAGAGGCTACTGTGAGCAAGAACTTACGTTAGGTTCAATCAAAGATAAATGCCCATCCTGTCGTCCCTAGGTTATGACTATGGCTGATTATTGCCACAGTCAGGGTATAAAATGACTTGAATAACACTTAGTGGCTCTTATATAATACTATATATTCTAGGACATGAAACTCAAATTCCTTCAATAGTACCTTCAATAGTAGTACGTGAAATAGAAATCATGTTTCAGTCAGTCATATAAAACTGTCACACTGAAGAAAGCATAAAGCAGAGGAATGTCTACTAATATCAAATAATGAAACTAGCACTGAAGGATTTCATCTTCTGCAAGAGCTAATAGGTACAACCTCCTTAGGGTTGGTAACATTTGCTTAATGAAGATATTTTTCTGGAAGCCAGTACGATATTTCAGAAATGGGAGCTTTTAGAAAAGTAAAAAACAGGCGAGTTTTTAAAAATCATAAACTTAATGTTTAAAAATCCTGAAAGGTCAAGGTTATTATAATCTTACAGATAGGTCTTCCAAATTAATGAAAAGAGATAAAATGACAGTGTTATGGTATTTTAGAACGTGTATTTTAGTATGTCTTTAAAAGAGATATATAGTCTCAATGTGGTAAAACACACCTTGCAAAATACCAACCCCTTCTCTTTTCTTTTGGTATACATAAAGAAATGAAAAGACAACGAATAAACTACCAAAAAGCAAAACTCTATACCATGTGTATTTCAGGTGGGTGAAAGCATTCAAAGGTTGGTCAGTGGGCACAGTCACGGCCTCACAGATCCTTAATCAATTCAACTGTCCCTCCAGGAGCCAGAGAGCAAGTAGCTTTTTGGTTGACTATGTTTATTTACCTACCTAGTAAGCAGGAGAGAGATATGGTCTGGTAAAAAGGGTAAAGTAGACAAGAAAATTTGCATATTTTAGGGCTTCCATGCTAAGTAAATGAGGAAAACAGACTTGACTTACCTGCACTGCCGAGCTGTTTATAAAACCTGTACTCTAAATGAAGCTGTGGAGCACGTGATTTTATTGGTTCCTGAAACCCAAGAAGAGAAACTGTGATCAGATTTAGACAAACAGGACTTTCCCATTCTTAGGTTTTCAGAGTAAACCAGGGCTAAGACCACTTCATATTTTAGAGATGATATCCATATATGATAGCATTTTCTTACCACAATTTCTGTTTGAAAGCACAGCTTGGGGATGATGAAGCTGAATTACACATAGTCTCGTCCATGGATATTTAAATAAAACTACTCTGTATGACTTACCATTCAAGGATAGCGCCCTCACCATGAAGTATTCTCCTACTAGGAAACCACATGCCAAACCTTTTAATTAAATACCAGCATGTATTCCTGCTTGTTTGACTCTGAATTTTGGGTGGTAAATAGTTTTACTATTTTTAGAAAAATAATATATGCTCTGGAAGAAAATTTCAAATATATAAAAACTAGGAAGAAAGTAAAAATAATCTGAGATCCTATCATTTTAAAGAGAAGCACTATTAACATTTTGGTGAATGTCTTTCCAAATATTTGTTTATATATATGTTTTTATATAATATAGACTCAAAAATATATTTTAAATAAATAGATCATACTATATTTGCTGTTTTGTGATGTGCCTTTAAATTCAACAATGTGATGGTGACATCTTTCCATGGCAATGAGCAAAGCTGTATGCTGTTTTTAAAGGCTGTATAGCATTCCCCTGTATGTCTGTATATATGTGTATGTATACACATACATACCATAATTTTTGGACATCTGGGCTGTTTTCACTTTTCAATATTATGAATAATGCTGTAGGAACATTCTTATGTATATTTATTTTTACACTTAAGAGAATTAAAGATTGTAAATGCAATTAAAATATGTAACTTTAATCAACATGGTGTTCAATTGTTCAAAATCAGAGTTTTCTAAAGACCCCAGAGATAAAGCAGCCAAACTATCACACTTTGTTGTACACCAAACATCAAGAATTGGCTGGTTATTTATTCTGAACTGACAGTATACTAAGCTACTAGTTAACAAGAAAATCAAACATTACCCTAAAAGATACATCTGCATACTCATTAGGATGGCTATTATAAAAAGCACAGAAAACAACAAGTGTTGGTAAGGATGTACAGAAATTGGAACCCTTGTGCATTGCTGGTGGGAATATAAAATGGCGCAGCTACTGTGGAAAACAGTATGGCAATTTTTTAAAAAATTAAACATAGAATTACCATATGATCCAGGAATTCTACTTCTTTTTTTTTTATTTTTTTTTTATTTTTTTGTGAGGAGATCAGCCCTGTGCTAACATCCGCCAATCCTCCTCTTTTTTTGCCGAGGAAGACGGCCCTGGGCTAACATCCGTGCCCATCCTCCTCCACTTTATATGGGACGCCGCCACAGCATGGCTTGCCAAAGCAGTGCATCGGTGTGCGCCTGGGATCCGAACCAGCGAACCCCGGGCCGCCGCAGCGGAGCGCGCACACCCAACCGCTTGCGCCACCGGGCCGGCCCCAGGAATTCTACTTCTGGATATGTACCCAAAAGAGCTGAAAGCAGTGACGCAAATTGATATTTGTACCCCTATGTTCACAGCATCGTTATTCACAATTGTCAAAAGGTGCAAGCAATCCAAGTATCTATCAACAAATGAATGGATAAACAAAATGTTACTACATTTTGTTTCATATATATGACAGAATATTATTCAGTTGTAAAAAGGAAAGACATTCTGACACATGCTACAACACACATGAACGCTGACAATATTATGCTAAGCAAAATAAGCTAGACCCAAAAGGACAAATAGTGCATAATTCCACTTATATGAGGTACCTAGATTAGTCAAATTCAGAGACAGAAAGTTGAATGGTGGCTGCCAGGGGCTAGGGCTAAGGGGAAATGGGGGTTTAGTATTTAATGGGTACAGAATTTCAGTTGAGGAAGATGAAAAAATTTTGGAGATGGATGGTAGTGAACGTACTTAATGCCACTGAACTGTACACTTAAAAATGGTTAAAATGGTAAATTCTAGATATCAATCTCTTATCCGATATATGATATTCATGGGTTGCCTTTTCATTCTGTTCAGAGTCCTCTGATGCACAAAAGTTTTTAATGTTGATGTCTATTCAGACAAAGGAAACAAAAGAAAAAATAAACAAGTGGGACTTCATCAGATTAAAGAGCTTCTACAAGGCAAATGAAACCAGGATCACAATGAATAGGGAACTCACCAGCTGGGAAAAAATATTTGGAAACCATATATCTGACAAGGGATTAGGCTCCATAATATATAAAGAACTCACACAACCAAATAACAAAAAAACAAACAACCCAATCAAAAAATGGGCAGAGGAAATGAACAGACACTTCTTCAAAGAAGATATACAGATGGCCAATAGGCACATGAAAAGATGCTCAACATCACT